CATACTGGATCTAGAGAAGTCTCAAGGGCAAACACGATTGAGGACAGCCAGTCCCTTCTACAGGATACCAGCCTTAAACAATGTAGACATGAGCCAATCTATTCCACCAAGCACAAGAACCAGGAGTTGGTTCCCTGTCCTCTATTTAGCAGTATGGACACCACCTTTCAGGTCATCGCAGCCAGAACAACTACTGCTGACTTCCTAGTGAAGCTGGAATATGGGAGATAGAGGTGGGAAAACTACTACAAAGATGAGTCCGTCTTTTGTTGGTTTTGATTCCAAAATGTTTTAAGAACTGTTTCATAGTGATCATTTTGTGGATGCAGAGAGAAAATAATACTTGCATTCAGGAAACAACAAAGTATGCTCACGCACACAAAAAAATATATTGTAGACAACAGTTCTTACAAAAACAGACATAACAATGAACATCAATAACTGATGCGATAGAGCAACTCACTTTTTGTCTCTACCTAAAACCTCTTCCAGAGATCTCAATGTCAGTTAGACAGAGTAACGAGAAGTACCTCCACCTGCACACACCAAAAAGAAAAGTCTTGACTTGACTTCAGATAGAACCAAAATCCAAATTACCTGAATGTAACTCATACTAGAAACCCAAATTAAAATTCAAAGATCATTTTGGAGTTGCATCAAAGTAATCTTATCTGGATTTTAAACAGACTTCTATTGTTACATAAAACTGAATTAGCAAGAATATTTTAACTTGAATTAACAAAAGAGCATTGCACACCAACTTTTTCTGAGACTACCTCATCCTTCAAGCATAGTTTGTATCATTTATTCAACTTCACATGCAGAACTATTCTCCATCAAAAAGCCTTTGCAAGAAAATTTATACTAATCAGTCTTCACTCTTTATTATGCTTCTTGTTCTCACAGCTGAATATACGACCTCCCAAAGCAAAGGTTGCTGAAGTCTAATTGATTCCTGAAAAAAACAACTCAAAACAAACAAACAAAAATGACAAACATCAAAAAACCTGCTGAGAACTTGGAAAAAAATAACTCCAGCGCTTTCTTCTACCTCATTGGGAGCCCTTTGATTCTACAGTTCCAGCAAATGTAACATTTTTCAATAAGCCATGGAATTCAGCTTCTTGGTGCTTGCAGTTTGTTCACTGACGTACCTACTGGAAACCCTTTGCAGAGAAGGCAAGGGTGGCTGGTTTACTGTCCATCCTATTCTGCTATTCTACAGGTTCCAGGAGAAGGAAAACAGAGAAAAAAGTCTTATTTGCAACAAAGAGAATAAAGAGAGTTGAGAGCTCCCATTTAATGTGTCCGAAAAACAAGGTGCTGAAATAAGCTAAAAGCTTTAGCTTTACTAGCATATATGGGGTAAAAGATTGGAATTCTTCAAGAAAGTTGTTTACGTTACAATACCAGAAATTGAGCATGCTAAAAGCTTTAGCTTTACTAGCACATATGGGGTAAGAGATTGGAATTCTTCAAGAAAGCTGTTTACGTTACAATACCAGAAATTGAGCATAGGAAATACAGATATGTTTTAAAAAGTATTTTGCAGACAATAATTATTTTTTTAAATAATTGAAATTATATATATACAAAAATAAAATTAAAAAAGCCAAACCTTTGAGGCCTTTTTGTAATTAGTTACATGTTTTGCATCTTGTTTGATTCTCCATACAATTATTATCTATAAATTAGTAAGGTTTTTCTGTACAGTTCAAACACCACCAGACTTGTAGCACAGAAGCAGACAGGTAAAAACAAAGTATTTTTGCAACTAACATTTAAAATCAGTATGAAAGTGATAAATGTTTCAATGTAGCATGTGACGAGGCTGAACTTAAGTCTATACTACAGTTCACAAATCACTGCTGCAGAAGATTGAGCAGTTCGGTTTCTTCATTGTTGGGGGGTAGCAATAAAAACCTTGGTTTTGTTAAAGATATTCATTTGTCTTGAATATCAGTTGCCAATTTCAACACCATTACATCCTGTGTTATGTGAATGGTAACACAAACTCAAGATCACCTTTGTGCATATATTTGCCATTTTTGCATATGATGATAAAGCTGTTTTTGCCCCTTCACAGATAACATGAACTACAGTTGCTGCAAAGCTAATTATATGAAATAATGCACAGTGTTTTGAGCTAACATATATTCAAAATACAGACACATGGCAGCCCTCAAATGAAACAGAATTATAATTTTCATGATTTACTGATATAAGGCTGTGAAGTTTTTATTACCACTAAGAGGAGGAAAAAATACAATTATGAATGCTACAGTCTTATTCCAATATAGGCAACAAATGCAAGGTCAATATAAGCCAACCTCTTCCCTATAATTTTACTGACTGTAGAGGTAGCCTTCCACTGTGTACAAATCCACACACCAACTAGCATTCCCTCATTTTTTCAGCTAGTGGTCCTCCTCCATGTAAAAGGTGTGGTTCAGCCGCAGGCATTTAAATGAAAGTGTCCTTACACAAGCTAGGTCTAAAATACCCCTAAAATAATGAAACCTATACAGCTTGCTCTGAAAACAACATCTAACATTTGATAGCTGAGTAGCTCCCAGATGCCACTGACTACACCGGCCGTGTAACGCAGTTGCCTGCAGGAAGCATGAGATGCCAAAGGTGTCCCACCCTCTGCCACTCCAGAAAGACCCAAGTCTCCCAGAGGTTTCGCATCTGCCGGCCCCATGGGTGTATTCCAGAGACTCTAGGGAAACTCAAATGGTGCCAGATGCCTACATTTAAGCAACCAAATTAGGACTATAAAGGCAGCTTTGACACCTCTTTTCACAAGTGGACACCTACAGAAAGTATTTATGTGTGTATTACACACAAAAACATTTCTGAGTGCCATCGGATGAGATTTTAAAATATTTTTTCACTTCTTGCCCCAAAAGAAGGCTGAATATAGAAGATCAGTAGCTAAAGTGACATTTCTTTCCTCTTCACATTATGTTTCCAGCCTACGAATACCTTTAATCACATCTAAACCTTCTAAAATACTCATTTAATCCCCATTTTCTTGTCATCTCCAATTCTGAATAGATTCTACTGTTCGCAATTATTTGTTTCATGTACCTCTGAGATCAAAGTTACTCAGAGCAAGAACTCTGACGCTCGTACTCGGCTCCTCGAGGGCTGGTATTTTCCGGGCTGCCCACAGCAATCCAGTTCCTTCAAAGAGTGCAAGGCTGCTGACCAGGCAGCTGCACCGCACCTCCTGCTGACTGCTGCGTGCAGGGGCAGCGGCGGAGAGAGGAATTCTTTTATTACTCTTCTAATTGAAAACCAGCTTTTGCTTCAGGAACAGGAAATAAAGAAAAGTCAAAAGAAGAAAATGAGAGAGGTGTTATAAAAATACTATAGGGGAAGGGAGGAAATCAGAGAGCAGAGCAGAAGAAATATATATAATATACCGTAGCTTTTTGTCCTGACACGTTTCCTCCCTATCCCCAGCGTACAAGTGAATGTACAGTATCAAAGTAAATGACAATGGCAGAGAAAGTGTAATAGTTATGCTAGACTATGGAATGAGAAGAACATAGATAAACTGACACCATCCCATTCATACTCATATTATTCACACAAATAACTACCACAAAAAAATTAAATCACCGACAGGGCTTTGATTCAGATTTCACTTTCCAGACATCTTCCTTTGCACAGTACCTATCTAATCAGGCTTTCTACTTAAAGTGTTCATTTCCTTTTTAGTGAAAACAATATTAAAACCTTTAGCTAAGGACAATGTAAGAAGACAATGCATGTTGTCAGATGTACTAGTAGCCTAAATATAGTACTTTGATTTGTAAACTGCACACTGCAATATTAAGTGTCTTAAGTTTAGGATTACATGTTATGTTGAAAATCAGAGTAATTAAAGAGCTGTATGTTGAAGTGGTTCCTTTAGAAATAAAAGTAGTATGCTTTATCTCAATTTGCAGTTAATAAAAACTACACAAATTACCTTAAAGAAATGGAAGATGCTATTGATATTCCAAAGTGAAGGGGATGTTAATTAATCTTTTGTTGCATGGAGAAGTCATTTTCTGTTATGAAAGCACACACTCACATTTACTAGTTAACTTGTCATCTAAATATGAACACAGTTTACAGATTTTGGAGGGGGGGGGGGGGCAGTATTTTCCAGCCCTATACCCCGGACCATGAAAATATCTACATTTTAATTTTGTCATTAGCACCACTGAAATCAATTGACATTCTCACGAGGCTGGAAACAAATCCCAAGTGTAAGAATATAGGTCTTATTACATACATAGTTTGTCACATCATTTGGCATCTGCTTAAAAAAAAAAAAGTTCCATTGTTGATATAAACGCTAGGATGTACTCAAATTGCCATTACTTAAGACATTGATTTCCCTGGAATTTCATTCAGTTTCAGCTCCAGGCAGACATCCAGCAGACAAAACGTGCAAACCCACCACTCGCAGTGGTGTAAATCAGTCTCATTTCACGCACGAGTAACTCCGCCGGTGCAAGACGCAGCAGTTCGGTGCCGGGGAGAGCAGCCCGTGTCCCTGTGCCTGCCCACGGACGGCTGAACGCGGGGTGATCCCCCCACGCGATACGGCACACGAGGGGGGCGCAAGGGGCTTTTAGGCAGGTGTCGGGGTGCTCCAGTTTTTGCAGAGCCCACACCCCGAGAAGCGCATTTTCTCTCTGGAGTAAGGAGCCGGACATCCCCCCCCCCCCCCCCTTCCCCACCAAACCCCCCCCCTCAACTCCCG